TGGAAAGTCGATAGACACAGCTGGTATACCGGTACCGACATTTTGAAATGCGTGTCACCTTTTTGCGTGATCGAGAAAACGGTACTCGACTTGACGAGCTCGAACATTCTAATTTTTCCACCGCTTTTTTCTCCGATGATTCTAATGTGCACACGACAATCAGACCTTTTCTATTCCACGCTACATTTAAATTACATTGCACTACTTTTCGTTGATTGATTTTTACGAAAGATTTTTTTATATAGTGTAACAGAACAAACAAATTGATTGAAAAAAATTTTTGACACGAATTGACATGATAAATTTTACAAGTGTTGTAATTTTAATATCTAAATTTTAAGAAGAGATAATATAATTATCGGAAAATTTGTAGATCGATTTTTATTTTATAAATGTACGATTTGTAAATTACAATTATTCTTACGAAATTAGAGTGAAATTAAATTTGTTTTGAAAAGAAAATATTGAAATTGAAATTTACTGGACTTTTTAGGGTAATTGTAATTAATATATTTCAAAATTTATTAATTTAATAGTTAAATCATGTCATTCCATTTTTTTTTAAATTAAACGTAAAATTGTTATGATGTTGTAGATTCCATTTCATTCCATTTTTTTTTTTTAAATTAAACGTAAAATTGTTATGATGTTGTAGATTTTCTGATTAATCATTGTTTTTTTGCATTTTTTCAATGCTATTCGAATAATGCACGAACATACAATTTCCCACATGCTCTGTTATTAAATTTACGTAAGAGACCTAATTAGTTTTGACAATTTACATTAATATGCAAATGAATTTAATAATTAATATCATATATATATTAAATATTAAAATGTGATATATATATATATTAATTTACAATTCCAAATGGAATTCAGGTAACATTCGATATCAACAATCCCTGAATCTTGGGTATTCGATATTCACGTCCTGATATTCAATGTTAACAACTTTCAACTCGGTGGTATTCGATAGTAACAATATTTCAACCACGATAAACATTCAGAATACTTAAATCATTCTATCACATATAAACAAATTTACGATTTTTAATTTAACAACTTTTAATTTAATTGCAACTATTGTGAAAATCAATTCAATCTTCGAATTCCATAAATATTCTTCCTCTGTGAGATTTCGATGTTTCTATTCGGTGAAAAGTACTGTTACTTGCAAAAAAAAAAGTAAAAAAAAAAAAAAAAAGAAAAGAATTGTTCAACTTCACTGCCTCTCATAATTATTCATAGAAGAGTACAACGTTGAAACGATTCTTTCAATTTCAATAATTATTCCAAACATTAATTCTCTTAAAATATCTATTATTATAATCTAATTTTATTTCAATCTCGTAGAATAATTTTAAAAATTTTAAAATTAATCATTGTTTCTTTTTTTTTTATAATTTTTGATATAACTTGTAATTAATAATTATGTTTCTTTTCTATGAAACAAAGCTGAATTAATTAAAATCAAAATTTGTGACATTTCATTGATTGAATGAAAATTATAAATTGTAATCACTACTGTGATTTGATATTTAATGCGTATTGATTACGTTAAATATATCAAAAATTAATTAGATTATACAAGGATTAATTCGATTAATAAATTTTAATTAAACTGTAATAAATTTTTCAACATAATGTTACGTTTCTTTTTGTGAAATATTTTCACTTGGGAAAAATACATTCTTTTCGCGATTATTATCTTCTGCCCAATTCAAGAGTTACGCTTCGATAGAGTAGTCCGATAAATATGACATAATAACGTTTGTTCATATATACGAAGAATATTTTATTCCCTTTTTTTAATCGATTCGCGATATTTTCACACAACTTTGCTTATTAATCATATTAATTCACAAGGCAATGGATGAATTTTAGCGACAGACTGTTATAAAACAATTTTTCGGAAAATATTATGACAGATGGCGTTGAACGGAAGTCACGTGTTTTTGGCGGATTATTTAAAATTTCATTCAGTTTAATCTTAATAATAAAAGTTAAGTAAAAAAATTATCGATATATATATATATATAATTCAATTCAAGTCGATTAATTGTTAACCAATTTATTAATCAATTTAAATTATCGAATTATTAATCGTTATTTATTTATTAATTTGATTTAAAAAAAAAAAAAGATTAAGATTGCAGAAAAAAATTTTAATTTTTAATTAAATTACATTATATGAGTATATTCACTTATACACAATTGAAAATTCTGAAATCATTAAGAAATTTTGTAATTAAAATTGAACGATCGCGCCTGTATTTATTAAAACTAATAAATTTTATTTAACTTGGTAGAAATTTTTTAGAAAGATCATACCTCTCTTCTATGTTAAAACACAATGTATAATAAAATAGCACAACAATGTTATTCATATTAATTCGAGCACGATTCTCGTTTCTTGCGATGAGATTTGATAAACGCAATTTCAACTAAGCGAAATACTTTGTTGCAATTAATTCAAATTGTTAGCCGCCAAAGTAAAGAAAGTGTGACAAGAACGCGGGAACATAATAACCTCAAGCTTCATTAACGTGAGGAATCGATAATTAAAATTCATGGAAGGATTAAGAAAAAAAAAAAAAAAAAAAGAGAGAGAAATTTTTCGAATTATAGAGAAACTTGTACGTAATGACATGATTAATATATTATAATTAATTATCACGTGCATTGCTCTAAAAAATAATACTTCGATACTAAAATTCTTAAAATGCACGAGTTACGAAAGGTTTTTTTTTTTTTTTTTTTTCACTACAAGCATTCACCTTGACACACATTTCTCCAATTCCACAATTGCTCGTAGAAATTGCACTTAAATCACCACAGCACGATAATACAATAAATCTATGAATGATTACACGTGTTTATTTGCTGAATAAATATAATTTTATTAACTTGTATTTTAATTTTAAAAAAAAACACCAACCAAGGCTAACCAACAGTAATTGAAATAATGAAGTAATTGAAGTAGCACCATCGTGAAAATAATTATGTATTCGTAATTACACCTCTGATTAAATTTTTATCAAATTTTTATCAAATTTATAATAATATAATAAATATATAATATAAAATAATTTTTATGAAAACCAGTTTCAAAAATTAATACAATTTGATTGTATTCGTTAATAATTGATCCAACGTGATTCCATTAAATCCTTGACAAAGATAACATATAATACTTTCCCATAGCTCGCAAAGATAATATTTATTATTGAATATTTAAGTAAATATTTGACAATACAGAAATGGAATAGAATTGGAAGCAGATGTGTCGATTCGATTGGAAAATTTGAGACACGATTCAATTGTTGCCCCTTATCGCAATGAAACCTTGAACGTGAAAGTTCCTGCGCATTCAAGCCGGAAGTCAGGAAGCAAAAATCAGTTTTATCGTCCCCCCTTCGCTACATTATCAGAAACGGCTACGAAACGAACTCGTCAGTATCGTGAACGTTTCGCTTCTGTTCAGAACACGAGGATAAGTTTAAATTTTAAAAAATTCCTAAAACGATTCGAATTAAATTCAAGTTATAATTCACAAGGAATCTGGAAATCTGAAGAAAATTTTCATGAAATAATATCTTTACAAAATTTAACGAAGCTTAAACGACTGGATAAGCGTTTCACAAGTGTTCAATTCTCAGGACAAGTGTTAAGAGTGCAATTCTGCTTTCCTTTCCACAATTTTCGTGTTTAACAATTTTACTTCATTCCAATATTTCCCGAAATAAGAATCTTCTTTGAACTTGTTAAATCAATCCAATAATATCATTTTAATTCTAAAGATTGCTCGAACCGAGCAAATTTCCACGCTCTTCAATTTTCAAGGGAATCAAAATTAAATCAAAAATAAATCTTGAAACGTTCTCCCCAAAGGGGGAACTCGTTACTGAAAATGAAGAGCGGCGGTTACACAGCGTTCAACGCGTCAAATGGGAGGTGGACGCTGAGAAAATTGGCGCAACGCGTCAATCCCAATCCGTTCTTAGATTGCTTCTCCCTGCCCTGTTACCCGAGAGCCAACGAGGAGGAGGAGGAGGAGGAAGCGGTGGACGAGAAGGTGGCGAGGGTCGAGAAGGATTTTCGCGGGCCGAAGATTGAGAGGATGGAGATGAGGGGAGGAGGGGAGTACTCGGAGGAAGACCCGTTGACAAGGAACGAGATCGCGATCACACCCGTCGACGACTCGTTCCCCAGGGAGGAGGAGGGAGGGAATCACAATTACAACTGCGGAGGATCGAAAGAATCGTCGAACGGGGATGGTGGAGCGTTCCTCCTTTCGAGTCCCTCCTCCGTTCCCTCGCTCGGGGTGAAACGCGTGGTGCTCTCCAAAACGGAGAGGAGAAGGAACGGGAAGAAGGAGAGCGAGCCAAGGGCGGAAATATTTTCGAAGTGTGTGGTGGACGCGAGGAGTGTGTCCTTGGAGAAGGAGGAGGAGGAGGAGGAGCTGTTTCCCAAGTGTCGGGCGCGGGGGCAGAGGAGCTGGAACGATTCGTCCGAGGATGGAACAAGTTAAAAATGAAATTTGCTTGAGAAATGCTTGATATCAATTGGACGATATGATAAAGAATAGTTTGAGACGATTATATATTTATTATTTGAGTAGATTTCTTCGAACGCGTTTTCAATATAAGATTTTCATTATAAGAAATTTTTGTTATTAAAATTAATGATGAAATTAATATAATAATAATAATAATAATAATGAATAAATTTATATTTATTTTTGAATATAAAAAAAATAAATCTGAATTTTTAATTATATTTGAAAATAAATTTATATTTATAAAATTAATAAATTTTGATAATATAATTTAAAAAAAAGTAAAATTAAAAAAATAAATTGAATTAATGTTTTAAGTTTTAGTTTAAATGGATAATTTACTAATGAAATAAAAATAAAAATCGAATTAATGAAATTGATTCTTTTAATGAATGATTGATCGTGTGCCATGGCTCATGCACTTTTTTCACTTTTGTAGACGATGGAAGCAGCTTGTCAGAAGCGTGCAGCACTCCGATCATCGGCGCAGGATCACGAGCAGGCTCTAGTCACACGGTGATCGACGTGGATGACATGGATTCTGGATTGCATTCTGGACACCTTGCCACTCGGGCATCCTTGTCCAGTCTTGGAGTAAGTATAGTTAGAAAGTTGGAAAATTATTTCTTAATCTCAATATGTGGTATTATATTTGACAAGTCTGTCCCTCTTTGTCTCTCTTTTTTTAATATTTTTTAATTATTTATTTATATTGTTTGCACCATGATATTCGATTGAAACGTATTTTTGAGGATCACAAGTATAAGTATATTCGACAATAATTTTTTTCAGGCACGTTCAGATTCGATGGCGTCGGTTTATAGCGGTGCTGGTGAGGGACGGTGCTGTCGCTCGGTGGTCGTCACTGGAGAAGTCGAATTCGCGTTGCAATATGATTATAAACATCTAACGTTCGAAGTGCACGTAACGAAATGCAAAAATCTAGCACCCGTTGACGTAAAACGCAAACGTTCAGATCCGTAAGTAACGCATGACTCATGGTATAATGATCTGTCAGATTAATGTATCTCTTTGAGGCACAAATATTTTCAATAATATTCAATAAGCATTAGAGAAAGATAAATTAAATATTCATGGTATAATGATCTGTCAGATTAATGTATTATATTTCTTTGAGGCACAAATTTTTTTAAATTAAAAAAAAAAAAAAGGTCCATGAAGTTGCATTTCAATAAGCATTAGAGAAAAATAAATTAAATATTCATGGTATAATGATCTGTCAGATTAATGTACTATATCTCTTTAAGGCACAAATTTTTTTAAATGAAAAAAAAAAAAAAAAGGTCCATGAAGTTGCATTTCAATAAGCATTAGAGAAAAATAAATTAAATATTCATGGTATAATAATCTGTCAGATTAATATACTATATCTCTTTGAGGCACAAATTTTTTTAAATTAAAAAAAAAAAAAAAGATCCATGAAGTTGCATTTTAATAAGCATTACAGAAAAATAAAGCATTACAGAAAAATAAATTATTTTGAATTATTTAATTAATGAGATGGAATATTAATATTATGTAATTTGTGTTTCTGGTTATTTCTGGATTTGAAAATATTCTCTCATGCATATTAAGAGTATTAATGCGTCCCAAAGAGATATAGAGTGTTAATTGTATTCATGAATGTTCTTTGAAGAGTGAATTCTAAAGGCAAAAATAAAGACAAAAGTTGGTATGTAAAAATGTCATCTGAGATATTATTTGTTGAGTATATACCAACTTTTGTATTTTGTTTCGAGAATCTTTAGAAAAGTTGATTGTATTGAAATTATTATATATGTTCTTTTCAATTTACTAATTGTTATCTTACTTGCGAATAGTTATTGCCAATTTGTAGGAGCTTTCAACACGTTAGTACATTTCTTTCTTACGAATGTAAAGTAGAATTATTTTCATTTATCGTTATAACATGTAATAGAATGAAATTTAAAAAAAAAAAACTTGTAAAAGTTGAAAATTTCTTCAATTTTGTTCTTTAAGAAGATCAAGATTGCAAAAACTGTATAATGAAATCAATATTTTTAATTATATACCTGGCTTTTGATTAATCACAAAAGAAAGGAAAGATCTTAATTTTTAACTAAAGTATCAAATAAAAAACAATCAAATTAAAATATAACAATTCACATGTATGTGACTTCAATATACAGTTAATGCATAAAGAAAATCAATCTCTTTTCAAATCAATTCTCTTTTCAATAAATTAACCGCAAACTATTCCTTCAGATACGTGAAAGTGTATTTATTACCTGACAAATCAAAGAGCGGGAAACGAAAGACGAAAGTGAAGAAGCACACACTGAATCCTGAATTTAACGAGACATTGAAGGTAAGATTGACGTTTCATTTTCAAATTTCGAGCACAAAAAAATTCTTGCTTGCCCCTCCATTCTTTCCTGCATGAGAGTTAGAGCTTGGACGGTACGCAACCATATTTCAGTTCCATATGAGTCTGAGCGGCCTAGAGACCAGAACATTATGGCTGACTGTTTGGCATTCAGACATGTTTGGACGCAACGATTTCCTCGGCGAGGTTCGAATGCCCTTGGAGAACAAAATCTTCGATGATCCTACGCCCAAATGGTATCCTCTTCAAGAACGAGTAAGTTTATGAAATAGTTTGTTCATCATTTTATATTTTTTATAAATAAAGAATAAGATATATAGTGGCTCATAGATTTATTCATGTGCATACATTTTTTTCTTTTTTTCTTTTATTATTTTTCTAATATAATGAAGAAAATAATATGACAATTACATATAGAAATATCTACATTTATTTATAAGTTTAACTAGAAGTAAGAGATAGGTATATTTTTTAAAATATAGTATCTATGAGTCACTGTATGTTTATTATTAATGGAAGAGATACAAAAGATAAGAGGCATAAAAATATAATTCTTTTTAAATGGATCATTAATTTACATTAACTTCAGTTTCATTTTAATTACTTTCGTTTCAAACTATTATTATAATTTTTAATCATCTAATAGAAATTAATTTTCAAATAAACCTGGATAATCTCACTGGAGAATAATTAAGAATTTTGTAAAAAATGAAGTAAGAAGAACTTATTACTAATTATTCAATTGATGTCTTTATTTCAATTTTGGAAAAATTTTTAAATTTTTAAAAATTCTATATATTTTTGAATTTATTTTTCTCTTTTCAAATATTCTTATTAAAAATATTATTAATTTTATATATTATACATTATAATACATTATAATTTTTGTAAAGAAACTATCTTTTATAGTAGAGAAACACTAAATTATACATTATATTATTACAAATGATCCATAATCAATTATTTGAGGATTATCCTTGACTAATTTATCTAATTAAAAACCATTGGAATGTTTTAATTTTATTATTTTTTTATCAACTAAGTGAATTTTATGTCTTTGTATCTCTTCCACTAACTATTCAATAGTAAGAGATCGTTCTAGATATAAAAAGGCGGCGAGAATGGGCCGGAGAAAGTAAGTCTTCGTACAGGTCTTGATTATTACCCAGTACGTAATTAGAAGCCTTCTTTTATTTGTTTTTATTTATCTTGATCAAGTTAATTGACACACTTTGCAATAGGAAAGCAATATTGCACGACTTGTTACATTACCTGTCAATTATCAAAGAAAAATTCAAGTTCAAAAAACAGCATGAACGAAGAGACTAATTTTATAGAAGATCACAATATTATATTGCAATTAAGACCACACCATACATCTGATTGCATTATTTTGCAATGTATCTGCATGCACAAGAATTAAAGTCTTTAATAGAAACCTCTTGTTTTTTACCATTTTACATTATGTATAACCTTTTTATCAAATAATTAATATTAAAATATGTATATTTACCTAAATTATATTCACTTTTTTATAATTATTCTGTTCTTGAAGTAACAAGAAATATATTTATTAAATGGTTCTTGTCAAGTGAGTAATATACATAAATATATTATATTTAAAATAAATTTGTTTAAATTGCTCGTTTTATTTTATAATTGTTTTATAATTATTATAATGATATATAAAATGATATTACCATACAAGGTATCCAAAAAGTAAAATTCTTTAATTTCATTCCTGATATTTCTTCATATTTTGATTTGAAAAGTCAATTCCCTTAAATTTTTAGACATTCTGTGTAAAAGAAAAAAAAAAAATTAAAGTAAAATAGATATAATTAGAAATATATTTAAAAATTGTAAGATCTCTTTTAATCATATTATCCAAATTATAAATAATTTTCTTTTTATTTCTAAAATATTAAAATTAATACATCGTATGAAAATTACTCTATATAATTTAGACAATTTTAAAATATTTTTTGTGAACTTTTGGAATTATCAATTAATCACAATTATAAATTTTAGACAGAACCGTTCGATGACCCTGTTGCATACAAAGGCGAGGTGATCGTCGGTTTGAAGTTCGTGCCACCGGATCCTACGCAACAGGAACGTGATCGAGAAGCAGGATCAGAACGTGGTACCTCTAAGTCTAAGAAGAATATGAGCCGTGGCGCGTTACACGTGCTCGTAAAGGAAGCTAGAAATTTGCAAACCAGGGCAAAGAATTCAGGAACGTGTGATCCATTCTGTAAAAGGTATCATTTATTAATACTTGCATTGTTTTCTTCCTATTGTTAACAAATAAGGAGAGACAATAAAAATCATCAATTTTTAAATCTGTTTTTTTTTAGAATTTATAGAATTATTAATTCTCTAATTTGATTTTTCCATCTTTATAATTAATAACAAATATGCATATACATAATTTCAACAAAAAAAAAAACAAATGATCTACTATTTATTTCTGATATGAATGATTCTTTATAATTAACAAGACTATTAAATTTACATACCTTTATTATTTATTATTATGCAATCTAATAATTGAAATAAAAAATAGATTTATATTAATTTAATGTATTATTTTTAGTTACTTATTACCTGACAAAGGTCGCTCAGGAAAACAAAAGACTGGAGTAGTTCGCAGATCTGGTGGTTCACCAGTATGGGGTCACACTTTCATTTACAAAGATGTGAGTCTTCAAGAATTAGCAGAACGTGGACTGGAATTAACAGTCTGGGATCACGATCGTATTGCCAGCAACGAATTTTTAGGAGGTGTTCGATTTAATCTTGGCACAGGTAAGTAAATTATAATTTATTATATTTTTTATAAAATCTTTAACTTATTAACTTTAACTTATTAAAAAATAATATAATATTAATTTTTTTTTAACTCAATATAATATTTTACTTTATACTTACTAATATAATACAGAATATAAAAAATTTTCCAATTTAAATTATATACACATAATAAACAAATGAATTATATGATTTTTTATTATTAATTATAATTTTTGCAGGAAAACATTATGGAAAACCAGTAGATTGGATGGACGCAACCGGTCGAGAATTATCCCTTTGGCAAAGCATGCTTGAGAGGCCGAATTTCTGGGTGGAGGGTGCCGTGACTTTGAGGCCAAATTTGCATAATCATGGGAAAAACAGCAACACCTAATCATTATGTATCGTCTCAGTGATTTCTTTTGTACTTAAATGACACTCGAGTGTTCACTCGTGGACCTTGTTAGTTCCATCTCAAAGAAGCTCGTTACGCTTCGGCCTAGTTTAACTTCAAACGCAAATATGTATTATGTGTCAGTGTAAGCGGACCACATTCGTCTAATAATTTCGAAATGCAACTTTCGAAAAAAAAAAAAAAAATATGAGTGCCTTTGGGGCCGATGTAAACGCATTGTAATCCTGTCCACAGGGCACAGTCTATCATTTAGACTCTAAATTCTCGAGAATTCAATAGAAAGTGATCGTGATTGTGAGGTATTAACCTCTGAAAAAGATCCAAGAAATCAAATCTTGGTCATGAAAATTAATATTTACCTTATTACCGGTCCAGTTTACTTTGTAAATGATCATAGCTGATATAATTAGAATTTTTAATCTGTAGCTTCCGTTTGCTTCTGATAAGTTTACTTTGTAGGTATTTTGTTTGCAATTTCTTTTTTTTTTTTTTTTCTTTTCTGCTGTATGAAAAATCGTACTATATATGATTTTTTTTCAAGTGAATTTCTTTTTAATTTCTTTTTTGATTATATTTTCTCGTTTTCTTTTGTTTTTCCTTCATTAATTTCCTTTTCTTTCATCATATATATATATATATATATATATATTATATATTATTACAGAGCAAAGAAAGTCCTAGCCAGATGATCAATGGAACATTGATACGGACACGCAAAATTCGTGCAATATAATGTACCGTAAAAAGATGTTTGATTCTTCTCGTTGATTATACAATTTTTAAATGATAAAGAAAGAAAATTTTTAAAACGGACATCCGTCCAATCATAAGGCGAGATTGATTATTGAACATCATGCATGAAAATTCTTCATGGTCAGTCGTATTATTATAATTTTAATAGACACGGCCTCGTTCCAAACGTACATTTTTGGGAAACATTCGTCGATCGCAGCAATAAGATATTGTTATTAAAATCCTTCCAGAGAAAGAAAAAAAAACATAAAACGATATATATATATATATATTATATATTATATATTATATATTATATTTTACGAAGTAAATTTTACTTTATATTAATTCAAGGACAAAAGGTTCCAGCGTTTGGAACGTGGCTTGCATTGTGGACACTTTCCTTTCTTGGAGAGAAAGATGCTTCCAGTGTGTACAATACTCGAAACGATTTCTCGCGCTGAGTTGCCAGAGACCGATGGAATGGTGTATTTAAGCAATTAAATATGACCGATTCCTATTAAATATATTCATATAAATATTATATTTATACATTCACAATAAGATTACACAATATAAGATAGACCATGGGGCTTTGGATCATTATCAACGGAAGGAATTCTTAACAAAAAAAAAAAAAAAAAAAGTAAAAAAAAAAAAATAAAAAAATATCAGTGTTTTGAGATAAAAACATATACGAAACGTTATGATAATTATAAAATATATGCAAAACACTGATCCGCGAAACTTCCTTTTAAGAATAATATTAAGAATAATATTTGAACTAATTACATCCGGGACGAATCGAAAGGCTGATGTAATCGTACTTAATTAATTAATTATATTACAATACCGAATTTTCGGTATTATCGCATATAGGAAAACATAGCGTAACACATGGATCGTGTATACTTATCCATAAGGTTCTTCCTAAATACAGGGTTAACAATCGATACTTTAAACTGCCTTCGATATAAGTTCTTCTCGTAAACGCGTGTCAAAGAAACGATCGTTAGAAAAATTTGCCAATACGTCCGTAAAAAATGAGTTTGGAATTGAATGTGCTGTGTTTGTTCGTAGCTTGTCAGGAGGATCGAACTGCGCGTGGAAAATATTGTTGCGAGACTATTATGTTGTGTACGTTTAAGGACCAATAACATTAAATTATAATAATAAAATTAATACGATAACAGGAAGAAAAAAAACAGAGTTTTGGAATTCAAAACACGCGCGCGTTTTCTGTTTCTCTTGGGACCGTTTCTGAAGGATAATGTGGCGCTCGGATCGATCGGAACAAAACGGAGAATCTTTGACATTTATTTATGTCATTTATCAGTGTACGTGATAATAAAATTTTGTACGTTTACTCATAATGAATTATATTTTATTCGATGTATATATGTATAAAAAATTAACATCTATTAGATAAATATTGAACAAACAAACAGGCACGTAGATGAGATTTTTGGTTAAAAAAGAGAAAAAGAAAATATCAAGAAAATTTGATTGTGCATCGTTTCATTCATTGTCAGTTCTACGAGTCTAATCACTGTTTTTTTTTGTCATTTATAAAAAAAAAACAAAATCGCAACTTATATACAAAAATATCTTGACTTACTCAATTTACATTCAAAGATCATTATTAGATATGAACCGGTTTCCTTCTGAATTCTTTCCAGAATATCGATATTTACATTTTCCAAATGCTCCTGGAACATAAAATAATTGAAATACTTTTAATTTATAAAATTTCTAATCAGATAATCAATAAATCAATCATTATTTCTAATTAAATAATTTTAATCAATAATTTAATTAAATAATTTTGATTAAATTTAGTAAAATTTAATTATTTGATGACTAATTAATTATTAATTAATTATTGAAAACTAAATAATCAATAGATAAAATAAAATTGAATAATGATATTGTATTTAATATTTAAAATTAAATAATTTCAAAATTAAATCTAAAAATAGTTTAATTATTTTAAATAATAATTCTCATATTCATTAAATGATTTAATATTTATATGAACATGTTTTTTCAAGTTGATTTTGTAATCAATATTTTCATAAAATATTGATTGATAAATAATATAAGTAAAATTTAATATATATTTATAATAACATATTTAAGATTTAATTCTTTTAATATTAATAAAATCAAATTTATTTTTTTTGTAATCAATTTTCTATTATCAATTATATATAAGAAATATTTTTAATTTCGTTTTTTTTTTTGAATAAGAATATTCAAATAAATATCATAATATATATCATACCAGATATCATTAAAAAATAATAAGATATATTAAAGAAATTACAAAATTGCAATTATACCTTTGTGATCAAGGGGATTACGGATTGATCTTGGCAAAGGAGTATAATGGATATTGAAAAATATATCATCGAAATCTTCGATTGTATTTGAAACGAATTTCTGTGATAAATCTGGAATCATTTTAATAGTTCTCGAGTATTTTCCTCGTCTTTCGGCATCTTTTCGTTCCTGTATTGTCACTGGACGTGAATCCAAAAATCGAAGTGTCGAAGGTAATGCATATATAGCATAGAGTCTATAACGATTATAATCCTCGTCATCGGTTGACGTTGGATTTGTTAATTGATCGGGACATCCTGGATTACCCAGTAAACTCACGTACATTACTTTTGGACAACATTCTTGTATTTTCCTCAATGCATTGTCTATATCTGTTATCTAAACAATTTTTTATTTAAACAAATTATATGGTGAAAACATGATTCATTCATATACATAATAAATGTAAATTTATAATCAAACCATAAACATATATGAGAATATGAGCTTATGATACAATAATATTGATACATAATGATAAAATATACAAATGAAACTTTATAAACGCTATATGTATGCTATATGTAATATGGCGTATTTTAATTTTGTTTAATGATTATTATTTTAGAATTTTTCCTATTTATTAATTATAATTTTATATTTTATAAAATGATACTTATATTAATAATATCATTTCAAATAATACAGTTATTTAATAATAATTAATAATAATTTTTAAAAAAAAGTTTAAACTTAATTCTAAAAGATAATAATAATTGTCAAATAATAAAAATTTTATGTTATTTAATTACATTAATACTGATTAATAATATTGATTACATAGTTTGTCGAAAATAATAGTAATAGTAAAATTTCTTGTTAAAACAGAACATTAATGAAATTATACAAATCCGCAATCCAGTTATATCATCAATCGTAACAATCAATACGAGGTGAATGGCATCAAGAATGTCATCGAACCCATTTGCATTGATGATATAAGATATCAAAAGTCATAAACGTTTAGAATTTCAATGAGAATGAATAACTCATAAAGTATTCCTTTATTCCCCGATTAAAGCGAATATAGTTAACTTTTATTTTTTCTTTTTCAATTTATCGGTTTCGCAATTATTAAAAAATTACAAGTTAATAATATATGTTGAAAACATGAACAATTAATTATTTTTAGTCCAAAAAAACGTAATAAATTACAATAAAAATATGTAATATGATGCAATAACAGATGTATCATATTTACTTAATCTATTTTTCAACTGTTCATTATTTGAAATGATTTAAAAATAATAATACATAAAATAAATTCTTAACCTTAAAAATTATTGATCGATTAATTAATTGATATTTTTATCTTATTTATAAATATCGTATTTTTAAATATCGTTCATTTCAAAAATAAGAAATTTAAATCAAATTAGAATAGAATTCATTATAAATTTCAAAATGATTATATTAAGTTACTATAAATAGATGTTTTATAACATTTAAACAAGATAAATACACATATTTCCTTATGAAACAATGATAACGAAATATTATACTAAAACTTATTGAAGTAAATATATTGAAATAAAACTTACATAAAACAAGTTAAAAATAAACATAACGAAAATTATGTTATTAATTACATGTTTCAATAAAAAGAAATAATAAATTTTTACATTAATATCATATGCACAAATATGTTTTATAAGTAGTTTGATATAATGTTAAATAATTGAAAATAATAACACTAAAAAATTAGATCTTCAGAATTAAAAAACTACTAGAAAAACATTTAAACTTTAATTTTTTAATGCATATAAAATAAATAATTCATTTCTATTCTATATCAATATCTTCTATTAATAATAACTTTAATTCATCAAAATAATTTTTTCAATAATAAAAAAATTAATAAAATAAGTAAAACAAACCTTGTTATTGTTTAAACTGAGAGTAGTCAAATTTAGTATACGAGGTAATGTCTTTAAATCCCGAAGTTTATTATTATCGAGTATCAGTTCCTGTAGGTTTTCGAAGAATTTGACAGCAGTGATGGAGGTTAGTTCATTATAAGACAGATCTAAACTTGTACAATTATCGCCAACGACACCCACTAATCCTCCAGGTATCTTTTCTGCCCGTTGTCCTGTGTACCAAGCCTAGATTTTTGAAAACGTTTACAATAATCCATTTACATTAAAATTTAGAATTTACTAAAATAACATTTTAAACATATATTAATAAAAGTATATGTTGATTACCCGTCCATATCGAACTGTCAACGCACTTCTATTAAAATCTTGTTGGTTCTGTTCCGCCATCTTGCATATATGATACTATACGATGAGAAATTATCATTAAATAATAAGAGTGATAATACTTTGAATCAACGATGAAGCCGCCATTACGGAAGATATCTCTATTAACAAACAAATCATATAACATGGCTCGTTGGTCTAGGGGTATGATTCTCGCTTAGGGTGCGAGAGGTCCCGGGTTCAAATCCCGGACGAGCCCAGCGATTTTTTTTTGTTAATTGTTTTGTCTTTAATAATCTAAATCTTTTTATTTAAACTCTTAACAAAATATAAAACAAAACAACAATAAAACATACAAACATAAAACATACAAAACAAAATAAAACAACAATAACAACAATAAAAGAAAATATAAAACTCTTAATAAATAATAAGCAAAAATAATATAAATAATATAAGTAAAAAATAAATTATACTAACATATATTTTTATATATTTATTATATATTTTATATATTTATTATATATTATATATTTTTCTATTACATTTTTTTTTCTTTTTATAAATCTCATATAAATAAAATAATTATATTTATGCATCGTTACAATTTTATATTTCAAAATTTACAATTTTGTTATTTATAATACAATTAATGAATATAATAAATTTATTGATATAAATAATATATTTACAATTGGAGTAATATCCAGGGAAAGGGCTTAAAATCTTATATGAATTGATTAAATTTAATTTGATAATGTTTTAGTTAATATATATATATATAGATTATATTATAAATTACTATAAATAGTAATTATTATAAACAATCCATATATTAAAAAAGTCAAAACCGGGTTGTAAATTCTTTTATGTACTAAATAAAGAAACTATAGTGTATGGAAAAGTTAAAATAATGAATAAAATCTAAAAAATTGACATATACACAATATTAAATATCATATAAATTTATGATATTCTTTAAAACATTTTCCTAAACATAAACCAGGATTATCTTTACAGCCAGGACAGAAATAATTAGTTTCTTTTCGTAAACCATTAGCAGTGCATTGTCGACATCTTTTTCTTTTTATTTTATTGTTTCCTCGTCTAGGTAATATTTCAGGTAGATGTTCAAGTTCTAATAAAAAGAAGTATTTTCCTAATAATTTTTAAATTCAAAATTATCAATAATATTCAGACGAAAGTCTTTTATCACTTTTATCTACATATTTTTTTTAATATCCTTTCAAATAATTATAATAAATTACAATTTATTTTACTACATTATTATTATTAATCATCAATTTGTAATTTCATTTTTATTATCTATCATGTATATAAAATCTTTTTTTATTGTATCGATATATATATTTTGAAATTTCGACAATCTTAACTGCTTTCCAATGTAATATCAATTTTTATTTTATCATATTTTTTGCTAATATTTTATTTTCACACAATCTTGTTTCTTTAATAACATTTTGAGTACTGAATAATCAACATTAATTTTATTATAAAATACATAATATATCTACTTATATTGATAGTTTAGAATATATTTGATGCATCATTAATTTAAAAATAAATTAATTTGCTTTAATTGTTAAGTTTTTTTCGTATATGTAGATAGATATAAATATAAAATCGAAAAAAAAAAATTTCAAATAATATATTTTTACAAAAATTACCCTTTCCTCTGAATATTATAGAATATATTATATTAAATTAATTTTTTATACTTTGAATACCATATTTCACAAGATAGAATCATTCAAACCTTTTTTTAATATTTTGACAGGTCTATATGTCAAATTTGCAGTTCCAATTTTATTAATTACTTTTTTATTAATTATATTTTTACTTTTCTTTTTATTTTCTGAAAAGGTAGTTGCTATATTTCTTTTCATATCTTCAATATTAGATATATTTTTATTATCATTAGGAATGTCATTTTGAATTGAACTTGTTAAATTCTGTTTCAATATTTCTGTTTGCTGTATTTTATTACGATCATTGCTATAATAAATCATAAGCTCTTTAAATTATAAAATTATTTATAAACTTTTTTTATAGTTATTTTTATTAGAAATCATTTTAGTAAAAAATTTATTATATATAATAATATGAATAATTATAATAAATATAATAACTTAATATAATAACTTAATTATAATAAATATAATATATATATATAATAAAGAATACCTTGTTGGTTCTTTAAATGTTATATTATAGAAATTCAGTTCATTATAAAAACTCATCATTCTTTGGAATGTATTTGTATAATCAGTAATATTTGGTATAGGAATATCTATTTTAAATTGTTCCTCCGTAAAAAATTTTGTTTCAATATTCTCTGTATAAATATAAAAATGTGTATTAAATTAAAGTAATATACTTAATATAATATAAAATTAACATAAAAAAAAAATAACATACTTCTTATTAACTCAGCGCCTTCTGCTTTATATTCTGCAATTTCTTCATCCTTTTTTTTTATTAAATCTAAAAGAATTTTATGCTGACGAATAATTTCCATTGATGATATATATAAAGGTTTAGTTATAATTTCCCAAAAATCTTGAGATGTGCCTTTTTCTAAATTTATACAAAATTTCATTAAACCACCATCTATTTGAGCTCGTAATTTTATATGTTCTATAGATGCTTCCACAATATATTTTGACATATTACTTAAAATGTTCAATGCAATATCATTGTAATCAATAGCTTCAACATTTAAAAGTGGATTTAATTTCTAAAATAAATTATAAAATTAAATTTAATTAATTATAAAAATGTAAAGTCATGTTTTTGTTTTTACATTTTTTTTATTGTATAATACTTTAATAATTACCCGACATCTGTCTAAAATAATTTCTTTTGTTAATGTTTCTATCCATATTTCAATAAGATTAGTTAAAAAAACTTTGATTGTATCATTTTTATATGTAATAGAAATCATATAAGTATCGTTATTTATTTTTATATTATTCCACATGATGTTTTTTTATTAATCAAAAATCATGTTTTTTATTATTATTAATATGGAGATTTTAAAATTTTATCTTAAATTATATTTTTTTTTATTGTAAAATTAGATTTTCCTATTTACGAGCATATAAAACATAATAATATAACATAACCTATATTTTTGATTATTAAACTTTTGTTTTATTAAAAACACTTATATTCATTAGAAGTTTTTAAATTTGATAAATGTATATTTTGATATATACATTATATGTATACGGTATATAATTTTATATATTTGTATTTAATAAAATTTTAATAAATTTCACACTTTTACATAAAAGTCAAACGCTGAATTTACAAAATATCGATATTGATATATAAAAATAGAAAAATTATTCGTACACATTTATAATATATGTATAAATATATAATATATATAATTTAAATAAATTTATAAATGACTATAAATAATTAAAATAAAAGATTTTTATTAAGAATAAATCATTAAAAATATTAAAATTATAAATATTGAGTAAATAAAACAAATATTTAATAGTAATATAAAAATATTTATTATATGAATATATCAAAACATAAAAAATATAAAAATTATACATTTTTTTTACTTTTTTTTATAATACGTATATTAACTGTATGAAACTTGGTATTAGATATATTGTTGATCATATTATCTCCTTGTAAAATTTTATTTTTTGTGTTAGTCTGTAATTAAAATTAAAAAAAACAATTATAATTATATTATAAAATAATATAATATTTTTAAATTGTTATGTTCAAACCGTTTGTTGTGATTCACTGAAAAAAGTTTTATTTTTGGATTTTGATTTTGAAATTTCTTTCCAATTAGTAAATAATATTGGATTACGTATTTTTAAATGATCTTTGCCATCTTTATCAATGAAATTTTTTAGATGTCTATGTTTATGCATATCACCAAATTTGTTAGATTTAGAATGTAAAAATTCATTTGATGTTCTTTTTTTACTCAATATTAAATAATTAAATACTGAAGATGCACTAGGTGATGTTGAACTTGAAGTATTTGTTTCGTTTTCTTGACACGGAACCAATGTTTGAATGTTTTTTTCATATTTTGAATTTTTTTTCATATTATTGATTTTTATACTTTCTTTACTTGAAATTTGAGCTACATATATAAAAAAATATAGATAAAAAAATTATTTTATTTTTTTAAATATTATGTAATAATATGTATATAATGTATATAATGTAATAATATATAATGTAATAATTACAATGTTTACTACACAATTTCTTAATATTATATCCATCTTTGCATAATATACTATTGAAATTCTTAACATCTTGTTGAGTAATACATTGAGTTTCAGCATTACTAAAAAGTCTTAATTTTAAACAGAGATTACCTTCAGTATCTATATACTGAGATGCCATTGCATGTTTTGAAGATACCTATAAAATTCACATATTTTATATTTATATTTATAATTATGAAGTAATTATAATTAGATTTATGAAAAAAATAAATATAAAATAAAAATTATATTTTATATTTTATATTTATATCATATCATATTATGTAACTATTAAATTCATTTCTATCATTATAAATTATATGAAAAATTAAATACCAAATTTTTAAGAAATTGCTGCTTTTTTTGATTTTTTTTTGATAAATGACTTAATATGTCTTTTGTATATGTAGTTATTTTACTTGTAATGTTAGACAAATCATTGTATTCTTTTTTAAGATGCTTAACAATAGTTTTTGTTTCAGGAGATATTTCAGAAGTATTTTGATTTAAAAGCATACACGATACACCTATATCCTTTACCAAAACTGCATCTGGACATCCATTACTTTTATTACTCCTATAGAAAAAGATATGTAAATAATTTTTTTATTATTTAATAAATATAATATATGTATGTATGTTTAACACATAACAAAAAAAATCATTATTTAAGAATAAAAATTTTCAACAAAATTATGACATATTTATAAGTTTAATAAAATAAAAACTGTATTAATAAAAATGTTGAATAATAATATAATAAAAATATTAACCTATAATAAGGAAACTGACAGCTATCATGAATCGTAGAATTACTCATTTCATCAGAAATTGTATTTTCTGTTACTGAATGATTATGTGAATCTTTGTTCATACTGTTAATGGAGTTGTAATTCGATTCAATAATCAAAGCATTTTGTTTAATAGCATGTCTTTTTGATATTGTGGAAATAAAACTCTTAGAAGATTCATCAGAAATGGTAGTATGTTTCTTCATTTGTGGTATAATCTTAATTGATGCATCTCCTGTTTTCGGAGCAATAAGGACACCCATCTCAAAATGATGATTGTTAAATTATCCAATGATTGTTAAATTATTTAGAAGTTATATTGATCCAATATAAAGTTCATATTGATATTTGTCATAAAGAAATGTAAAAATTAGAAAAACGAATTATAATAAAATATTTTATATGTATAAAAAATAATCAAATGATATTAATTTTATTACAAAATGTAATAATAACATCTCTATGAATTACCGAAACTCTAAATCTTCTCTGTCCCATTACTGAAAAACAGAGACATGTATAATGTTTGTATCTTTGTCGGTTTTTAAAAACATCCATTACATTACAAAACCTCAAAGTTACCAATTAATTTTGAGACTTTAACGCCTGGAAAAGGTTACGTTTATATCATTCGAATAATATAACAAAATAAAATCACATTTTTTTAAAGCATTAAAAATCATAATTGCTATATTCATATAAAAGTGTGAAAGATATAAGATCTTAAAAATATATAGTGTCTTTGATATAATAAATAGCAAAAAATATATTATATTAATAACTTGTGCAATATTTTAATATTGACACAATTTTTTTTGTATTAGAAAATACTTATAAAATTAGATAAAATTAGATTAAATTATATAAAATAAAATTATTAAAATATATATATATTAGAAAGTTAAGAAAGAGATATACATATGTCATATATGTATAAGTGAAAGTATTTTTCGATAACATTAAATAATTTTTATTTTATTTTTTTATTTTGATAAAAATAAAAAAAAGTATTTTTAAAAATAATTCTATTTTTTATAATAATAATAATAAAACATATTAGAAATAAAAATATAGTGATTATTACTTGAATATTTATTTCTTTTTGGAAAAAAAAACTTATTTAATACATGTAAACAATAAATAAATTAAATATATTATTATTATTATGTTTTATTAAATAAATTAAAAAATTCTTATATGAAATTAATTCTAAAGAAAATTTTTTTTTATAATTAACATTCTATTGTTATTATTCTATTAGTTATTAAAATTTTATTTTGATAAATAATATAAGTACATTAACATATTGCTTAGAATCGTTATATAATATTTTTTTATATAAAATTGATTTTATTTATTTAAATTATTTTACCTGGAATTATATCATATAAATTATATTTATTATAATTACATAAAATTGATTTATCAAACTTAATGATTATTTTAAAAGATGTTTTTTTTATACAATTAAAATATATATTTAGTAAATTAATCATTTCATTCAAATATTTATTTTATTCAATTCTGAATTATAAAAATTTAATTAAATGCATATAATGTGTATGTGTATATTTCTTAGAATCTGAAGGCAAGTTGACCAATGAAGTTTTCTTACATTTTACAGAATTGACAGTAAACCATAAGCGTAATCACGCATAAAACTTCAAAAAATTTCGGAAGAATCGATATTGCTTCATTCAAGTAAATTACTAACTTTTCCATTATTTCATAATTAAATAAACATAATTTGTTCAATTTCTAATTTTATCTAATTTCATAAAATATTTTTAAGAAAATAATATTTAATTAAAAATTATAGAAGCTATAAAAATAAAAAAAAATTATAAAAGAAATAAAATATATAATAATTCATTCAATAATACATTATCTAATTGCTCAGCAAAATTGATTGAATTGAAATGATGAACTCGATACTCGATTCTTTAGTAATTACGCCAATGATATGCGTTCTTTCAGTTTGATCGGCATGGCTGCCACGGCATTCACGAACAGATCGCGTCGCGATGCACGTAGAGTCAGTACTTAGTTCGTGAGCGGCGTTGTTTCGAAATCGGAAGGCTTAACAAGTGATTAATTTTAATTCGAAAATGCGTAAGATCGGTACATTTTTCTAATTTGAATTAGTGATTCGACTAATCAAGTACAGTCATGTTATTTTTTAACCCCGAGTCAGTGAAAAGTGATCGAGAAATCGATTGACAGGAGTATAATGTTATTTGTACCAAGATGAAAGAAAGATTATAATAAACTTAGAGACAATATATACAATTCTAATACGATTAAGGCCGAAATATTTCAAGCGTTTTTTGAAATTCACTTCAGTGATGATTTATTAGCGTTCGGTGTATTCGTAATTAATATTTCGTTGCGAACTGTGATCGTTCTAAAAACTTGTGCCGGTTAATTATCTGACTCGAGAGAAAGTCGACTGCTTTGCGTGTTCCAACCGGTTGATTCTACAACAAGTAGCAAAACTTTCGAGCTGTTTTCGAATTGTGCATTAATCAACGTTGATTAAAATTGTGCGTGTAATATATAGGTGAAGAAGTTTGTCGAGAATCTGTGTGAATTTGTGTTCGTTATCAAATATATTCGAGGAATGTTTATATATAATCTGCAATTGTTGTTCAATGTATCTAATAATAATTGATATCGAATGATGATGAAGATATATTCAATAAATCGACAAAAAAGAATAATAAATGTATCTATATGAATGATAGATGCATTTGCATATATATGATTGACAGTGTAACAGTTCGATAGATGTCATCGACAGAACTAGCTATCAAAGTGTTTCGATTTATCGTGGCTCGGATCGATCCACGTATCAGCGAGTCGAATGTGATTCTGTTGATATTTCATGTATCGTAGACCAATGTAGCGCAATGTTTGTCAGATTGGTTATCGTTATTATGGCATTGTGCCTATGGAATGGAACCGGTAAGATATTTTTTTTATTTTTTAATATATTTTAATTGATATACATATTATTATTCAATTAACGATTTTGTAAACAGTCGAAATTTTGTTTCTATTTTTTTGAAAAATAATGGCAGTAATATTCAAAATATTAAGAACATTCGTTTAAATTTGATAATTCTTAACATTTACAATAATTATTTATTTAGTTTTGATTTAAATATGAATGAAAATTTTAATGATGAACAATCATTTTAAATTTGAAAAACTTTTACCAATAATCTATGATATTTGTAGTTTTTCAACCACGATTTTATAGCCTGTACTTTCTAATATATCCCGGAGAAAGCGTCGAGAATACTTCTTCTGACGCATGCTTCAAATAATGCGAAATCAGAATATAGAGGAATAAATTTAACAAACAAATGATCGTTCACTATATAAATAAATCAATTCGACATTATGTATTTATTGAAATTTCATATCTAATTTTAAATGAAATTAAACGTTAAATATTTTTAAAGTAATCTGTATCATAATATAATAATAAAATTGAAAATTTTTTTTCGAATTAATTATACAAATTTTTCTTTTCAAATTAATTATGAAAATATAATTCTTATTTTTTTAAATAAATCTTAAATTACTTTCATTATGCATTTTAAACAAGTTTAATAAACGGGACAATATGTATATTTAAATCATATTCTACGAAATGCTGCCATATGCATTGGCGATAAATTCGTTACAGCTTTCAATCTATAATGGAGATTCTCACCTGTTGTTCAATGAAATATTATGGCCTGAAAAAGCATATTATAATGTATGTCATGAAATATAGAAAAATTGTGAAATAATAAATGTGAATTGTCATTCTATAAAAAACTATAAAAAAATATGTGACAATATTTATGATGTTTTAAAAGAACTTTTTAAAGCTTGTTAAATTTAATCAAAATGAACGATTAATATTTTATATATCAAAAAAACAATAAATATTATTAAAATTTTTTTAGTTTACTTTAAAAAAAATCTAAGTTTTTTTCTAATTTTTTCAAAAAAGTATTCTACTTTTAATTATTGATATTTTTGGTTCAGTTATTATAATTTTTATTATTTATTTTATTGTAAATATATTATAAATTCATAAATATATATTTTTTAATTACTTAAAGGAAAGAAAATATACTTTTGAAAATAATTATTATAAATAAATATTTGTGATGTATCCAATCAAAAAAGATACAAAGATTTCTTCTCATCTCACAATAAATGAAAAATGAGATTTTTTCAACATATAAATAAATAATCTCAATCAAATAATTTTTTCTTATTTTTAAAACAATTTATTATATATAAAATGGAATTGAATATAATGTAGCAAATATAATAAACATAAAAAAAATTAAAAACAAAATAATAAATAAAAACATATATAATTTTTTATCATTTTATAAAATTACATATTCGTCAAATACATAGTATTATAATAAATATATTTGTATGTATTTAGCTTGCAAATTATTTATCATGGTTCACTTTCATATACATATACTTATATGCATATTGCACCTACGCAACATTCTTCTCATACTTCATTAAGTTGCCGCCTTTGATACAATGAATTCTGTTGCAACCGATTCCTTTCTATTTAATATTGATGCCACGAAATAAAAAAAAATGTCTCTCTCCTTTCCAAATACATAATTGTACGATTAAATAAAATAGTAAAGATGTATTTAAAAATTAATTTGAATACTCGTCGTGAAATTCAAATTTATGATTTACAGATTTAAATATGAATTTTCCAACTTCGACTAAGTAATATCGGATTCACTTGTAAACGAGTCTATACCGTGATTTAATGGAGTAGTGGTGAAGGGTACGAGTGAAAGTTACTTAAATCATTTATCCGATCTATTCGAATTATCATTTATTTTATCGAATTTTTTTATTTTATCTTTTTCTTTTTTATTTTTTTTCTATGTCGATATGTTAAACATAAAATTATAGAACGAAATAAAAATTTAGAAAAATAGGAAAGATTTATTTGAGAAATCAAAATACATTAAAAAAATGCTTATAGTGATGTTGATTACTGTAAAAAGTAACGGTGTTTACTTCGATTACAATAGAGCAACGGCATTTATACAAAGAATAAAGAAATGTGTCAAAGTTGTATAAATTAAGAATTATATGTATTCTGTTCCATAACTAAAGTATTGAAGTTTATGAAAGTATGTAGTAGGTTTCTTATGAAACTATTTTTAACATCTCATATCAAAGAAAGAAAATTTTTCTTTTGTCAGTGTAAATTTTTTAAAAAAAAAATTATTCTTCAAATAGCTTTGTTAACCAAAAGGCCCAGGAAGTTTCCAAACAGACTTAAATAGAAAGTCGTTGTCGCGACTTGAGAGACACCTGCACGTAGAATTCTTTTAACTAGTAATAGGATCAAGTTCATTATGTACCTATAAATAAATTTAAATCTAATGAAAAAGATCATTTTATAGGATTCATATAATAGTAGTAAGATATAATAAAGTATTTGATCTTTAATATTCATGAAATTTTTAAAAAAATATTTATAAAAGATTCGAATATTTGAACATACTTGCGATAGATGTAATGCCATTACTCTTTCGTAATCCATTCTTTTGTAAGTTCTGAGTCTCAAAGAAACTACAGTATTTATATCATCGAAAAAAAGAAGCCAGTTAACCGATAACACAAAGATGCATGATTCCATGAGTCTTTAAAGAATGCAGAAGAATACGACAATTTTATCTGAAAGAAATTTTACTAACTCTCATTAATAAATAAACGAATATGCTTATATAACATTTGTTTTTATGATATTCTCGATATGATTTTACCAATCAAAAGTTTGAACATATCCCAAGAATTCATCATTCTGTAACCTCAAAAATTCTATTATGAAAAATTTATTAACAAATAACTGAAATTATTATTGAAATTATTATTATTATTGTATTATAGAATTAATTTTTAATTAGTAATAAAATTAATAGAAAATTTGATGTAGTTATAATTGGTGATTGCAAATTATCAACTGCATATTGGTTTTTATAACGGCTTTTTGTCAAAAGAAAATTCCAATTGCCAGATATGCATTGGGAAAGTTTATTTCGCTTGTTCATGTTCTTTCTCATCGTTTGTTTCGCATGCCTGCCAACCTTTTTTTTATTGTTCTCTTCAGTTACATGTGCTTCCTGTTTAAGTGCGCCTCCTCTTGGCATTTTTCCGTTCAACAGTTTGCGATCTGTAAATAGAACAAAGTTATAGCATCTGTGTTATAATTAGAATGTATTGTTTAATAGATAATTTATTATTATTATATTATATTAATAAAAAAAATGAATTTTACGATAAAAATTTCATTAAGAATTTTAATGATATACAAATTATGACAATCAGTTTTTTGTCTTAATCTAAAATAGTAAGTAATCTAATCTATATCTTAACATAACCTATAAAATAAAATAAAATATATAAAATAAAATTCAATTAATTTCATTTCACTGATTAAAAATTGAAAAAAACTTTTCAGCTATTGCAATTCATTTTAAATATTGATTAGATTTGTATTACTGATAAATATTAGATAGAAAGATGAAAAATATATTAATGTCCAAATATTTTTGCGACGATAATTTGTTCAAAAACTACCGAGATTCTTCGGCAAGGATTCGTATTTTGATCAAATCTTGTGCAGACGAACGATTATCGATGAAGGTTGGATACACGACTTCTTGTTTGGTGTCTGGCGACCCGATTATGCGACCGGCTGTTAAACGTTAATTCGTCTGGCGAGTGGTCGAGTCATTCGTCGTTTTATTTTGTTACGCAGCCATTTTTCCGCTCGAATTCTTTGGTTGGGGAAGAATCACGATCGTACTTTTGGTCGTTTTCATTCGTTAAAAAAAACCATTGCAGAAAAATATGATGCAGAAAAAGTGCGGAAAAGTCATTCTCGGAACACATTCTTGCATTATCGATCAACCATGCGTTCACATACGTATCAATCACGCATTCTTTTTGTTTAATGAACATGCATTCGTCCAGTCAATGATACACATACAATGATGGATTGTCCATTGTGAAAATTTCTGAAGAGTTTCTCAGATATTTAGGATTTTATTGGAAATAAAAGATGAATGTATAGCTTGTAGAATATAGTTTATTGTATTTTCATAGATATTTATCTTCTTTTTTATCTTTTCTTTATTTATATGTCTGTTTCTAGAAAGAGATTTATTAGATTAGATATATTTTTAAATAGGATTTTTAATATTTGAAAAATTTAATAATAATTTTTGATACTTGAAAATTAATTTGATCCATAATTAATGTATTAGCTTTCAAAACAAAAAATTTGTAATAATTAAAATGAAGATTGAATATATTATTTATTACATTATTATTAGTAAAAAAGATTTACAGTTATTCCAATGCAAATGTTAAAAATATTTATAATTCAATAAAGATAACGGTATTTTTTTAAGCGTGATTTTTTTTTAATTATATCAATAATATAAAAAATAAATAGAATTAGAGAATGTATATTAAAATTATATTAAAAATAAATTTATTCTTTATATATATATATATGTGAAAATTATAATTAAATATAATTAAATAGTAATTATCTTCATCTTGGAAATGTGTTACACGTTAAATACATAGCAATTGATTAGGAAGGATCGTTCTTGTGCCGACATTCGTGTCTCTGAGAAAATGCTCGGCGTTGTGCGGTAATTCAGGCGCAGGTACTTGTTTGATAGAACAACCATTACTTAACCATTACAAACTTCTTGTGGCACTAATTGACTTCTATAAATTTAACGCATTTAATAATGAATTATGAATGAATTATATATAAAATACATACCATTAATGAAATATAATGTACATACGTCACACAGAAAATAATTAATTGTATAATTAACATATATGAACAAATTATTTGTTCATATATTATTACGACACATTAATTAGAAAATAAAGTTAAGTCTGTTCATTCGTATCTTTGTTATATAATTAATTGTAGCATTTTATTTTATTTTAGCATTATTAAATTTTAGTAATTATAAAAAATCTTATTATTATCTCATAAATTTAATAAAAAAATATTTCATATATTTTCATTAAATTACATTATTATTATATACATATATTTCATTAAATTTAAATCAAATGGCAATATAAAAAATACAAATGAAATTACGAATTCTTAGTTTTTGCCACCAAAAATATTATTTATCTACGTTATAAATTTCCAATTAATATGTAAAATAACAAACGAGATTCGTGTCCCCTTTAGCGTGACACGAAGAAGAAAAAGTTCTTCGTGAAATTTTAACTCGTCTGCATTCACAAAACCGCGAAACATATACTTATGCCTGAATATAATGTTACAAGTCGCATATGGCCACATTAAGATTCGCTCAAGGCAATCTGATGAAAAGATTTCAAGGCTTTATACCGCTGATCACCGAACATTTTTTTGTACACTTTTTTTCACTTAAAATATTATTATTATCACGAATACAAATGTCTTTCTTAATATCAAAACTTCCTAATTATTTAAACAAGTATTAAATTTACATAGATAGCTAGTTTTAACAGAAAAATTTCTTACATAAATATTTATTGTACATTGTTTTATTAAATGAATAACATATAATTTATAATTATATGTACATAAAATTTACAATATAGAATGTCTGTTTTACACAATGGAATATCTTTTGATGAAAGAATGTTATGAAAAAAAAGTTCTTACATAAAATATTGTTTGGTATGACAAGATAAATTATGTAACATTTAATAGCTTTGATTTAGATGGAGGCCATATGGAAGTCAACTGGAAGTCATGCGAAGGTCAATTATTTTTTAAAAATTGAATCATACATGACAATATTAACCAATGCAATTTATCTTCTACAAAAAACATATCATGTATCAAATAATCATCAAAGGATATCGTAATTTGCTAAATACTTATTAATCTTCGTATAACACTTGAATCCGATTTATAAATAAAAGTCGTTCATTTAGAAACGACAAGGAGGAAATTTTGCGCGCAAAATCCATAATCGCCATACGAATCTCTAAAACGAATTTTCGGTGCGCGTATCGCCATGCATGAAAGTGAAGCGTCATGCTAAGGAATATATTTAAGGACCGACGATGACCTCACCGAAGTGAAAGTTCTCCGGTTCTGTTCCCTACAGTCGGTTAAAACGAGCAAAAGGTAAAAAAAAAAAAGTAGAGAGAGAGAGAGAGAGATCCCCGGCCTCTTTCGAGCGCCCATAAGCCCCGCTGGACGTATCCGCTTCCGGAAGGCAACGCGTTCCTCGTTGACGTCACGACCTTGGTCGAATACCACGAAATCGATGGGTTTCGAAAGATCGGCCTTCGATTAAGTGGATTTTCGAGTCTTGATGATCGTCGAAAGATTTTCTCATCATGGGATGCTATACAACGATTGTGAAGCAATAATAATGACGATGGATTTTTATGTTTCAGGGAACAGATATTAAATTATAGTCTTTTTTTTTTTTTTTTGGTTTGGATCTTTGCTAAGTACCCAACTTTCTCTCGGGGATTTATTTTGTGATGTATAAACACGCTTTTTGATGCTCCTTTCGAATATTATTGTAATTTAGATCGTAACTTATGGATTTTCACTTTCTATTTTAATTTCGAAATTTTAAATGTTGTTTTTTTTTTTAATTTTATCAGGAATTTTATTAAGAATTCCTTTTAATTTGTTGTCTACAGTAGATTACAGAATATTTTATAGGTAAATGAGTTTGATTTAATTCTAACAATAGCATTTTGAGATCTTTCAATCTGAATATAATTTTTCTGCTTAAGTATTAATTAAAAAAAATTTGAAAAAAATCAATATGTATATATTAAAATATTTAAGTTTAAAATTATAAAATTAAATCTAATCATAAGTTTCATATTTATAATTATTTTAATATTATAAAAAATAAAGGAAAATCTTGATTGACATTGTTATAGGGTCAAGTATTAGCCACAATTAAATTTATAATTTTATTGTATCTAATTATGCAAACAGTCGTGGTTGCATTCCAAAAATTCATGGTCTTTTTGCGATGAAATTTCACGTAGAAATGAGAAACTATCCGCGGTATATTTTTGTAGCGTTAGAGCGAAAGATGGAAACCGAATAGTTCACTTTCAGATCCTGTTGCATCTCACATTACTTAAAGTACGTAAGTACTTACTTAGATCTATCCATTCTCCATGAGTCATTCTTTAAAAGTTGCATGTGTAATCGTTACGTGCGATTAATCTATTTTTTTTTTTTTGAATAAATTATTAGAAAGCATTATATTAGGGAGAAATTGTGTAAGAACATTATATTATATGGAAAGATGGAAAGAAATAGGTTTTTTTTTTTTTTTTTTTTTTTAAATTTTTCAATTTCAACTTAACACGATATTTGATATTTATATATGTTATATTTTTCGATAGCGAGTTTCAAAAAAAAAAAACAGTTTTTCAAACTTTATATCTTAAATATTATTATTTCTGATAAAAAGATAAAATTGAACGTTTACAAATAGCTGGAAAAATATATTTTCTGACGTAAGAAGTTTAAAAAAAAAATTTATGATGAAAAGATTATTTATTTTCTAAACCTGTTTCGAATTTTTTTGCCATTATTTTCAAAATTTCGATAAGAATCGAATAATTTATCGAGAAAAAGATTTATTGATAATTTATTATGAAAATATTATCAATGCTGAATCTTGAAAAATTTTTTAAAATTTTGACGATAATTATTTTATAAATTATCTATTTTAAAATTTTTTAAATTTTATTACATTGTATAATATAAATAGCATTAAATTTTTAAACAATTATAAATTCTTTTTTACAATCAATTCTCTTTTCAAGGTAAATCGTTACTACTGTCTAAAATATGCTGGCATTACAGAAATGTACAGAAAACTGAAAGAGCTCTCAGATATTTTAAGAGTAAGACTTAAGTCTTGCTATTCAAGTATATATCAAAGTCGAGAGCGCTTGACTTTCTATCCATTAACGAGAATTTCTGTCTATCTTGTGCTAAAACTATTGATAAATATAATTGCTGAATGGTTTTAATTAAACACTGTCAAAGGAAATATTTATTCTCTTACGAATAGTTGATGGAGATGTTATTTTTTCAAAAATCAACAAAATTTCTTTAATTAATAATTTTATTAATCTTTCATTGATGTATATAAATAATTTTTTATTAAAAGAGAATAGTTTTCCTAAATAAATACTAATAAAAAAATTATCTTTTTTTTTTAATGTTTTTACATGTTAATTAACAGCCAATTAAAAATCATGTTGACCCTAAAACTGTATCTATTGAGGTTAATTAGAACTTGTTTTTTTTTTTTTTTTTTTTTTACATTTAATATATTGTTTTTACATTTTTCTTTGACCTTCATAAGATAAAGTTGACCTTCATGTGACATTAACACGTTTATTTATCTGTATAACCAATTTTATCTGAAACAACTTTTCTTATCATTAATATATAATGTTCTTATTATGAAGTGAGATATTCAAAATGATCAAGTTATTTTTGTTTAAAAATATATTTATCATATCATAGATTATAATTTATCATAGATTGTATATACATGTATATCTATAAATTCATAAAAACTTTCCCTAAAGAGTTTCAAAAACTACTTTCACTAATTCTAAGCAATAAATGTTTATCAAACATCAATCATAATATCACAAGATCCCCTAATCTTAATATCAATTTTCATTAAATTGATCAATAAACTAATTATATATATCAAGAATTAATTTTAATCTTCTATTATTAATAATTGCTTAACTTCATTTTTTATAATTATATTTATCAATCATAATTTTTATACCAATGAAAAATTATTTATTCCTTTAATCCTTTAATTTTTACAAATATTATTCATTATATTTTTAAATGATTTTACAAATTTCATTCATCTTTAATCCAATATCTTTATCATTTTTTGAATATTGCCTCTGATAATAATATTATATATATAGATTATCCAATTTCTGGAAACTATTTTCTATTCTCTTTTCTTTGCCTGTAATTAAA